TAAATTTATTTTGGGCTACCAAAAACTGAAGAGTCCCTGCCCGAAGGGCTACCAGGGATTTTGAAATTTTGCGAGCCCTGCATTGGGTAATATGTCACACTGAATACACATTGAACACAACCGCATGAAAGATGAAGAAAAACAATTCACTTAGATATGAAACAATGCAGTAGCCCCACCTACTGGCAATTGTTCCAACTGTTTTTTAGAATAGAAAACCATAAAAGTAACATTTTTCTATTTTATTTAGATTTCCAAAGGCTTGTCAGATTTGGCACATGATAAAAAGTTATGCAAAACTGCACAGCACTTGCAAAATGTATTTTATTCCAAATAAAATAAAAGAATCAAAAACTTATCATCTTGTAAAATATCAAAATTCATTCTTCAAAAAAATGAAAAGAAAACAGTTTTGAGAATGGACTTTTTATAATGGAAAACAGTTCTTTTGAAGAAATAAATATAATAAACTGGCAAAAATTAAAATGCACTATTTATTTAACATAACTTCAAACTGAAGCTTCAATGAAGCTTTGAGAGCACAGCACTGCAATCTTGTAACACAAGTACTAATAATTCAATCATAAACACACTCTCAAACCTCTTGAGTCTGCCCCATTTTAGTTTTTATACAGTTTATGATAATTAAATATCAGCATGTATGTTAATTAATTAGTTTTGTTCTTGCACTTGTGTATCTCTTTGGATCATACTGACTTGTTTGTTTTGCTTTTCCCTCTGATTTTTATGCCCATTACAAAAATCCAAATGTTTCCTTATTTCATTTTTCTGATCATGTCTTGCAAAGACATGGTCTTGACCATACTGAAGAAATGCATACCTATGCCCTAACAAAACAACTAAAAGCTCTCATGGGAGGAAAACTATTAAGCAAGACTAAGACATTGAAAACCAACTGAATGGATTCAATTTAATTGTGTTTTCCTTTTAAATTCAAGTGCTTTATTGTTCAGACCGATAAAAGATGGGATGGAGTCATTGTGAGCAGCAGTTTTTCTGTAGGTGAAGAGGCATTGTGACAGAGATGAAGGTCGACACTGCTTTTGTTAGGCACCCTGGGAATTGTCTTAGCAGGTTTGCTCTTTGGTCTTTAATGCCTTCAGTTTTTCCAGAAATTCGGATTCTGCGCCATCCTCCTCTGAAAGTTTTCATACCACTTGAGGATGCAGCTGGAAGGAATAAAAGTCTCTGTGGGGTTTGGCAACATCTGGGCTTGCGACACAGCAAAGGAAGAGGCGAAGTTGTACAGACTGTCCAACATCTTTTGGGTGAACTGCAGGAAGGTGTCCACGGTGGACACGGCGGCGCTGGACACCGGGATCTGCTGAGCCAGCTGCTCCAGAGCCTCCACTGACACGCCGACCTGAGCAACGGAGGGAGACGCAGAAGAGGTCATAATACCGAAGGGGTGCGCCCCGCCCTCCCCAGCCTTCAGCCCAGAGATCTTGAAGATGGCACTTGGCTTATCGTTGGTGATGAAGCCGAGTAGCTGCCACACGGGACCGCCACTCGCCGGATCAGGGAAAGAGAAGTATACAGCACCGCCCATGCCGGCAGGGAATGGCACGGTACCTAGCATAAATACCACCACATGGTTCACATTCTCGTAGTCCGACAGGTTAAAGAGGAACTTGTCCGGGGCAAGTTGCACCGCGTCTGTCTGCACCAACCTCCCTGCGACCAAACAGCCGAACATCACTGCTGACAGTTAGTAAACAGCCTATAGCTTCGGCTTAGCCTGCACCAGGTTAGAGTCAGTACTGCAGCTCCCGCCGTCTAACAACCGGAATTACTGAGTTACTGAGACACTCAATTACACACAGAAAAGTGTTGGACAGCAAACATGAGCGTAGCTTCCCAAGGTTACCAGAAACTTCTTCTACAGTTATACTAGCCCTGCCCTCTTGTGGCGTCTTCTTCTTCTCCTTCTTCATGTGACGGTGGCAAACTCGACGCCTGGGCGCCACCGACTGGTTTGGAATAATTACTTCATTAGCCTAAACACTAAATACACCCAATAAAAGTGAATTTGTTCTTCTTCTTTTACAGGACGAAGCTAGGATCAAACATTTAGGGGTCAGAGGCGCCATAACATGATGTCATGTGTACAGTGTGTGCAATTAATATTATTGGAATAAGCAGCTTGCAAACATTTTCAATTATTTTTCCTTTACAAACCCAAATTCAGCTGGGGCACATGCAAATGTTTCTTTCAAAAGCAATCAATTAGTTGGATGACCTATTGTAGTGTCTAAGAATGATTCAAAATGAATAATCGCAATCAGTATAATACACCAGTTTCAAACTGAGCACCTTAGTTATCAAACATGAGGCAAAGCCTCAATCATGTTGTCCACAATTTTCCAAAATAATTTAAATTTGTATTTGTATTTGCAGCAAAGCAGAGAACAACATTTTTTCAGCCTCTCAACCATATAAATGAATAATAACTTTATTTGTATAGCACTTTCAAAGTTAAAAAATGCTACATAGTTTGAATAAAAGCCATGCATTGAAGATAACCGGCGTGTTCAACAATATGGATATATAAACAGACACATACTAAGCCATATGGTCAGACATGACAGTGACTCTGTTGCATTCTGACAGAAGTACACCGCTTGCTATAACTCGTGTGCATGGCTCACCTGTCACCCTGCTAGACCCTTTCATGTATGCCTATTAAGTTACAGACCCCTAGGCACAAATGTTTGATGTGGTCTAGCCAACTTGTTTTGATGATCAGACAAATCATACACAATAGTTTGAAATAGAGAGAGTGTACCTTGCTTTAAAAAAAAAAGGAATCATAACTGTATAATTTGTGTAAAAATATCTAAAGTATCTTATATTGAATGGAAAACTAAACTGTCAGAGCTTTTCATGTTGTTTTGTGTGTTTGTTTTGTTTTTCACAATGAATATACTGTTTATACGGTTTTTATACACATTCATAAACATACACACTTGTTGTTGTCTTCTTCCAACAACTCCTTCAGCTCCTGAAAGTACCACAGTCATACAAATTACTTTGCATGTCATCACAATGAATGTGTTTGTTTGTTTGTTTTCCTTTCATGCCTGTTTCACTTACTTTGGAAGTATCCACCAGTTAGCTGACTTTAAGAAATACCACTAGCCTTAGTAGTGTAGGAAAGAAAAGGGCAGGTAGACTACTGTATTCCACCAATTCAATTGTAATTATAAAAAAACACATTTGTCTGTCTTTTGATAATATATGGTTTCAAGATCTCAGTATTTGAGAAAATACTATTCTGGTCTTTTTTTTTCACTTGCCTCTTGAATGGTCCCACAACTGTACATGGGCCCCTGAAACCGTTCTTCTCTAAGTTTCAGCCTAGTTTTGGGGACAACCAAAAGCAGCTGGTCAACTGATATAAGGGCCCGCGAGGGCATATAAGACTGAAGTACGAAAGGTAAGAAAGGTATGGAGAACCAAGACTGTTTAGGGATTTATAAGCCAACATTAGGACTTTTAAATTAATTCTGTGATAAACAGGAAGCCAATGAAGAGAGGACATGAGAGAACTTCAGCTCAGCTCGGATGCATAGGTTGCATAGGTCTTAACTAGATCACACAGGAAAAGCAGATAAGGCCATTTTAGTGCACAACATCAGGATACTTTTTATTTCTTTTTTTTTTCTGAAAAAATACTGATTTTACATATGCCCACAGTATTTTTAGAAACCAGAACTTTAGACTTTTTGTTGAATTTTCTCTATTATTATTGCTTATTTCTTTTTTCTATCTTTTTCTCTCATCTTTCTCCAGCAAATATTATATATTGATTCCACCAATTTTATTTTTATTGACTGTTCCCTTAAAAGAGTGCATACCAGCAGCACATGAGCTAAAGTGGATCAAGTACTCTCTGATTTAGTACTTGCCCAACCTGCTATGAGGCAGGTTGAGAGGAGTTATACTGGCTAAGGAGAGAAACATTAGTGAAAGGTGATATGTGCTACCCTGCATCTTAACCAAAGTGCACCGGGAGATGCATGTGCATATTCTGCATATTCTATGATCTTTTAGACAGAAGATACAAAAGCTAAATTGGCTTTATGAGCACAGCATGTATACTTATAAAGGTAGGCTAAAGCTTTCATAGTTGTCTGTAAAGATTGTTGTACTATTCTTTTCTCTGCATATAACCAGAGGTGGTAGAACTAGAAGTACCGCTACCACACTAAAAAAAAAGGGATTGGCCAGCTCTTGGATTTATGTAAGCATCTTGCTGGTATTTAACACAAGTGCCTCATGCTTTAAAGTTAAGTGTAACTATATAGTGTAGAAACTACATAATATGCAGAGCGGGTAGATTAAATTGTTCATATCATGTTCGAGTAAAGTAAGTCAATAATATAGCAATGTTAAATCCTGCGACACCGCACGGGATTTCAGTCTCGCGCGCTTTTGATCGTGGTTTGAGGAAGGCATCCATCTCAGTCAAGTCGAGAAGCCGCCTCTACTTTTTTTGGTATACCAAAAAAAGTAAATGGGTGGTTGTTTCATTAAAAAAGTGTACCTTGTAATTTGAACACATAAATGTCTTGGTTCTATCTTGAATTAAATCACGTAGGATCTGTATGAAATTCAACAACTTAATTTGTTCTTGTAGAGATGACATTATACAATCTACTGTAGTATGAGTGTTTAGTTGCTGGACTCATGAAATTAACAAGATCACATGAGATTTCAAACTGCAGAAAAATCACTGGAGTTATAAGAGGCAGACAACTACACACACACCACATGTATGTTATTGCTTTTTATTATGGGTTAACCTGTCAAGGACAAAAATGTAAAGAAAATTCTGCATCAAGACTTGAAATCATAGCTTTCCTATTTTTGATGGTTAGTGCTGTTGCCTCACAGTAAGAAGGTCCTGGGTTCAAATCCACAATCTGGTGCAAATGGTTGTTTGTGTCTATGTGATAGACTGGTGAGCTGTCCAGGGTGTGTACCCTGGCTTCAATGTCCACTATTGAATCAAGTAAATCCAACATGGCTGAGGCTGGAATAAAATGTATCCATCAAATGGTACTCTTTATTAAGGAAAGCATGAATTTACTCACAAAAGACCCCACCCCCTCTAATTGGTCCAATTGGTGCACAGTATTTTGAGAAACCAGAACTTCAGACTTTTAAAAAAAAAAAAGTTCTGGCATGGTCTCTTTTATATGATACCTGATTCAGGTGAGCATCTGAATAGCCTAAGTCAGGGGTTATCAAACCAAAGGAGAAAATAAACATCCACATAAGCAAAGCTCAAACTGCAATAAAGCACATGGAAGACGTTTTTTATATTTGGACCAAGTCCTATAAATAATTCAATAACATATATACTTCAATCACTTATATATAAATTCGGAACACCATAACCAAAGCTCCCTAACCTGGCACACTAGTTTACTCGCGGCGCTCATAAACTTTGAGCTCCTTTTATTCTTTTGCTCCATATACAGCGAAGGACGCAACCACGAAAAGGTGAATACTGCTAACACTCTTCTCTTAAATACATGTACAAAGAGTTTAGATTTACAAAACAAATAATACATTTTGAACAGCTCTAACTCAGGTTCTTTTTCCTCACACACGTAGGATGGCCAGTCCTCCTCATCTTCCTCAAACAGTCACTTAAATACTATATCAAACCTGATAAACCTAATAAAGAATCACTAACCCACAAATGTAATTCTGTTTTATGTAGTTTTTAAAAATACCAATCCCTCAAATGAATAAAAATACAGGTAAGTGAAATGGATCTGCTATACAGATGTTTTTGCTGTTGTAGTAGAATTGTCTTGGTCATTCCAGCAATAGGTGTGTGCTACACAAACCTATCACTATTATAGTGAATGATCTGCTGTCATGTTCCTCCAGTCCTCTCCAGTGCTCTGTTTGTTTGTGTTTCTCTCTCTTCTCCTCACTCCTCTCTGTAAGGGCGCCACTCCATTCCGGGTCCCCGCCCTTGGCCAACACACCTGGTTGCAATCGTTTGAGTCTTGCCTGATTGATCGTAACAACAACATTAATGAAAGTATATGAATCAAGATAATGTTAAAACACATATGAAACAATGAAGCCTTCATTCAGTTTAATTTAACCAGCCCATAGTTATCCTTCTTGTAAACTTAGGCTGCTGAACAGGGTTCTGCTTGAGATCATTTCCTCTTTAAATGGAATTCGTCCTCCCCACTGTCACCAAGAGCTTGTTTATAGTGTTTTGTTGAATAAATAGAATTCTCTCTCTGATATTATAAGGTCATTACTTGTATTATAAAGCATGAGATGACTGTTAATGTCAAATTTAGGTCACATTTAATTATACATTTAATTGTAACTGTTAAAGGTCTGAGGCATTCGGATAGTTGGTAGTCTGTGCCTCATTTTAGTAACATTTACCAGTATTTAAAATTAACAGCCAGGAAGGCTGCTTCCCCACAGTTTGGCAATGGAAATCTAAAACGGTGAGTTAGAATACAGAGTGAGTTTCAGAAACATAAGAAGGTATGAAGGTAAGAAGGTTCAAACTGGTTTTGGATTTTATATAAAAGTAAGAGTATTTTCAAATCCCTACTGTAGGATATTGTACTCTGCCAAAAATGGACTGATGCGTGTGTGGTTTTTTGTTTTGTTTTTTTGTTTTTTGCTGAGAGAAGTTCGGGAGACAATCTAGCAGTTTACACTATTTTGTAATCAGGCAGTTAAAGATTCGTTAAAGACACAGGTGTGGACTTCTCAATGTCAGGCAGTCTGCACACAGAGAAGTGAAGTACAGTTCAAAATTCAAAATATATATTAGACACATGAAAACAGGAAATAATTGTGACTGGCTATTGATGGGGAGATGCCGTGGTTTAGACTTAGTGCTCCCTGATTTGTTCTGCTCGGGGTCCTTCTGCATGGCAACGT